AGATAAATTTTTTTATAAACATGGTATTGAAATGTATCACCCTAAAAGGTGATTATGTTGATGAATAAAAAAAAATTTTGCAAAAAAAATGTTTTCATTGTTAGTCTCGGGACTTATTGATCCATGTGTTATATAAAATATGATTGGAAACAAGACCGTTTATGTTAAATATATTACTTTAAATACGAAGCGCTACTACGGTCTGAATGTTAAGATGTTGAACTACTATATATATTCATTTAAATGAATTAATTTCAGAAATGATAATTGCGTGCCGATATACTTGTCGGACTTTCAACGCAATCAATCTAAAATATTAATAATCCCCCCAAATATCCCAAATCTTAAAAATCTGTAATAAATTTATTGCGAAAAATATTGCCTCGATCAGGAGTCGAACCCGGATCTTTTGCACTCCGCGTATTCGTCAGTTCCACTCAGCCTTGCTACGTCCTTGCTTTCTGTCTATAAACGGGCGCTAATTCGTTAACTTTAAGAGTGCCTTTTCATGCGTTAAAACAGTTGTTTTCTTACGTCAAGAAACATCCAATCAAATCTTTGTAATTTGTAGCGGAGAGACACACAATAGATTTCTGTTATATATCACTGTGTGTTATTTATTTTAGAAAGTTCAACATGTTTAATTATAAATATCACGCATGGATGACAGAATGTATAAATTTAATTTAAAAAAAAATTTCACATTATTTATTCTCGGTAATTATTTAGAATACCCCACTCCACCTAAAATCTTAATAAAAATATACTCATTCGATTCAAAACGAAAAAAATCTGGCAAAAAAAAACGCGGCGGCTGACTTCGTGAATCAAGTTATTAAGTGATAAAATTAGAGACTGCAAAAATCTTTTTTTTTACTGACACCACTCTCCCCTATGCTCCATACTCGTATATGTTCTTTTAGTTACACCCTGTATAGCTAAAATGTTTCGGAATATTTCGCTCAATAATGTTCTGTATGAACGACGCAATATGATATAAAAGGCTGTCAATATATGATATTATAATATAAAAAAAGTGAAGAGTGAACTTCTGAAAACACCTCCGATTTTCATAAATTTTGACAGAAACACTCTAAATGACATCAAATAAATGCCCTTAAAAGAATTTTCATCAACACGAAGATTTAATGCCAAAAATGTTTGAATGGCGTTATAAAAATTTGTACTAAAAAAAAATTTATTTAACAAAAAAAATTATTTCAACAAAATGCTGCGGTCGAATACGTGCAAATAAATGTCAATATAATAAGAGCAAAATATTTTGTTCAATTACTATGATGATTTTAAATTTGGCTCAACTAAATTGAGTTATTGCCAACAAAATATTTATTTAATTTTAGAAAATATTTAATTGAATAGGAATTCATTTTGATGATTCATTAAATAGCATGAGACAACAAAAATATGTGTCAAACAAAAAATTTAATAAAACAACCAAATTTATAACAACCAATTTATTAAAATAATCACATATCGTTTACGTTCAACTTCTATACAATTGCAATTTGTATACGCAATATTATCATGAAATTCATGTATGTTTTATTTGACTAAATATAATAGTCCTTGTGACAAAATAGATAATATTATAATAGATCGGATTTTGTATTTATTTGATGTGACACAATATCTTTTCATTGAAGTGAAATATTTTGATTATCTCGTAACAATTTAAGTTGAATAAACTATTTTTCTTGCTCGTTCAAGTATATTGAGTGTGAAGACGCCTTAGTTTGATAAAATATTTGTTTCACTTGAAAGTCAATTAATATAACATAAAAAGTCTTGTTGAAAATGAATTTATTTGATTAAATCGTTATACTTTAACGAAAAAAATAATTTTTTTTGTTATTGTTATTTTTATTTTTCCAATTCAATTTATTGTTTACTGATTTCGCATACCTATATTCTTGTCTTATTAACTACAATTAATTATTATTGAAAAACGCATCGCATCGCCACCAAGATTTGAACCTACGATCCCTAGAACGGTAGTCTAATACACTTACGCTGAGCTAATCGCACGCTTGTGATCGAGTTATTACTAACGTCATTCATTATACCTTCTACTGTGACCATTTTTAATTTCATGCTGACAGTTTAATATTATTAATATTCAAGAGACTACATGGAAACAAAATAATATATGTTTTGATCTTATCAACTTTTTAATAAATATCAGCTATTATATACGAGTATACTGAAAGAAAAGATTGGTTGCTGCAGCAAATTAGATGGTTGAATGGCATAGCATTTTTAATTGACTGTAGCAATCAATTTTTGATTGCGTTAGCCAATCTAAGGGTTATTCCACACAACTTGCATAGCCGCATAAACATATGCATAAAGAAAATCAATCGTATTTTACGTTTGCCTTTATGATAGAAATGTGATTAGATAATTTTCTTTATGCATATGGTTATACGGTTATGCAAGTTTGTGTGGAATGGCTCTAAATCCTATACTGACATTACGAATAAGCCAGCACAATTAACAATTAGTTGCAGCAACCAAAAATTGGCTATTGCAACCAATTAAAAATGCCATGCCATATTTTATCATCTAATTTGCTACAGCAGTCAATCTTTTCTTTCAGTGTAACAAAATATGTGTGCACGCAAAAATAATATAAGATCATTCATGTCAAACAAGATATATGGTTAATGCAACAATGTTTTGTTCAATTAAACTTAACCGTAATACCTACTTACCAAATTATTCAATGTTAGTTAATGAAAATGATTCAATTTTATTTAGTTGACAGGACTACTATCATTTGGAAACTTTCAAGAAAAATCAGTTAACAACATCGTATATTTATTTGGATAGTCTCATAGAATCAATTAAATGCATTTATATAAGACATATATATATTATTGTTCTAAATGCAAAAATTTGTTTAATTAAAACTATATCTTTATTATGTGAAATAACGTTTTTATAAATTATATATATTTAAGACAACCAAATGTTTTGTCAAATAAGTATATATTCTACATTAGTATAAACGAATTCTTAAGTAAAACTAACCCAATCCATTATTAATCGTTTATATCAGGCATATAAATATATTAAGTAAGACTCAATTCATCATTAATTAAAGTATACGTAGGCTGCTGAAAAAGTTTCTGCAATCTAGTTACTTCCAATGGTGCCAACGTTCTGCTACTATCATATCCGTAAAATTAGACGTTTTTAACCTATAATTCAATTGACAGTTTGTACCCAAGCCAACTAGTTTTGTTTGCGTAGTATTTTAAAAGAAGTTATTTTGTAAGAAAATTTCGCGTGAAAATTTTCGGGCAATGATTTTTTATGATTACAAATGTAATCTAACTCCGAAACAATGCATCGATCGAATTCATTTGGCTTTTGGGGATGAAGCACCATCCAATAGGACTGTTTATATTATAATTGGTTTGTCGAATTCCAGCGTGGACGTATCTTTTTTAGTGATGAATTCCGTGAAGGTCGTCCATCCACGTCTGTTGTTGCCACTAATGTTGATGCTATGCGTGAAATGATTGAGCGAGACCGGCATATAACATACAGCGAGATTCAGGCATCCTTAGGCATTGACATGAAAGCAATACATACGATTTTGCATGATCACTTGAGCGGAAACTTTACGGAAACTTTGCAGTCGTTGGATCCAACACAATTTCACCGAAGCTCAAAAACAGGTTCGTGTTAAATGGAGCAAAGAAATGCTCAAGAAATTCAACCGAGGTCAGTCAAATTTGGTCTACAACATCGTTACTGAGGACGACACATGGATCTATTCGTATGAGACCGAAAGTAAACAACAATCCACTGTTTGGATATTTTAAAATAAACCGAAACCAACAAAAGTTGTTCGTTCACGCAGTGTTGCCAAGCAAATGATTGCTTGTTTCTTCGGTTATACCGGACATGTGACAACCGTGACTTTAGAGGATCGAAGGACTGTAAATACTGATTGGTATACAACAATTTGTTTGCCAGAAGTCATAAATGAATTGCGTAGAACAAACCGAAATCGTCGCATCATCTTTTATCATGACAACGCCGGCTGTCACACAGCACATCAAACCGTTGATTTTTTATCCAGTAATAATGTCGAATTGATGACTCATTGTCCGTATTCACCTAATTGATCACCTAATGACTTCTTTTTGTTCTCAAACATTAAAAATAAGATGCGTGGTGAGCGATTTGAATCGCCTGAAGCAGCTGTTGAAACATTTCGTACACTGATTTTTGAGGTTACAGCCTTAGAGTGCAAAAAATGTTTCGAAAATTGGTTCGAGCGTATGCAAAAATGTATCGATCTTAAAGGCGAAAAACAATAAAGCCATTTACCGAATTTTACATGTTTTTTTTTCTTATTGTTTGCAGAAACTTTTCCAGCAGCCTACGTATGAGAGGCTTAAATATTTAGTTACTTTAATTGTACTTTAACTGTACTGTAAATTTTAGAAGAAATATTTTTCAGAAAAAACAACAATTATTTATTGGAAAGTAAGGTTGTTAATATGTTGGGTCAACAATTTTGGAGTAATTCGTATTAACAATGTCAAATCAATATTTATTTAGTCACAGTAAACTATTTATCTTTCCAAAATCACTAAGTAATTCTGACTATATATATTTTTTCAAATGACTGAATAACGCACGTCATGCCAAAGAAAAAACAGAGTTAATTTTACTTTAAGGATAAGTTAGGGTTCAATCAACACTATAGCCAAAATTACTTAGCAGTTTTAAAAAGTTAAGATGTTTATTGTGACAAAATAAACGTTGATATGACATTGTTAATATTGTTTACGCATTATCAATTTAAAACTGTTGATCCAATATATTAACGGCTTTACTTTCCAACAGACAATTAAATTGTATTTTAGGAAAAATGTTTTTTCCAAAATTTATGCACAATTAAAGTAACTAAATATTTAAATCTCTCATATATTTCAATTAATAATGGATTGGGTTAGTCTTACTTAAAAATTCGTTTATACAATGTAGAGAATATATATCTATTTGACAAAAAAATGCGATTGTCTTAAATATATATAATTTATAAAAACGTTATTTCATATAATAAAGGTATAGTTTCAAACAAATCCTCGCATTTAAAACAATAAAATATATATACAGGGAGGGGCATTTAAAATAGGTCACCCGAATAACTCGTTTGTTTTTAATAGAAGAAAAAGTGTCAAACAAAAGTTGCTTAGTTTCGAGGGGCACATAATGTGATGTCAATACTTGTTTTGTAGGTGGAGGCATAAAAGACAAGCAAAGATCAAATCTGTTTTTTTTAATAAAATGATATGTTTTTTTACTTACATTCTGACAAAGTATTTTAAGATGAATACATTTATTTATTTATATTATATATTTATTGGGAGTATAAATAAGTTTCCGCCGTTTGACAAACAATGACGCTACCAGTATGTTATAGTTAAAATTGTCAGCTGTAAAACGTCATATCGTAAGGTTGGACATCTGGCAAGAACATAACCTTGAAATATTAGCGATTTTGCATCAGCATCTTATATCTTTTTTCGTGCAAAAATGTCGAGTTTTGAGCCGAATAAGCATCATTTGCG